GTAATTTATTGTTTGGGCAAAAGGCCCAAAGATCTTTTAACAAATGTAATGATTGTTTCTGTTTGTGCCAATGACAACTTACAAGTTGCTCCTGAAGAGACATGGTACATAGAGGGATACCAATCCTGTTATATGACAGTGAATGGTGGACAATTTCTTCATGGATGAAGAGGTGTTTTTTTTTTTAATATTAATCATTTCCCACCAAGCAAGGCAATAATGTCACTAAGATGTCTTGCATCTTAGTGGCATTATTGCCTTACTGACTACAAGAGAGTGAAAGAGAATGAGAGGATTTAAACAAGAAACAAATCTCCACTCTTTTTCAATAAACAGAGAAGGTGAGTGAAGCAAGGCTTGAGGCAAAAAACATTTTGTGGTTTGTTCACACATTTCATTGTACTGATGGAGAGTTACATCTGTTAGAACCTCTTAATTGCTGTTGTTCCCAGGTCCACCTTAACCCAAGGTGGTAGCACCTGTTACGGTCTATGCTACCCCCAAACAAAAACAAAACCCTATGAAAGTATAAAGATACATTTTTATAGTAAAAATACCAGAAATACATTTTTATATAAAAAATTAGCAACAATCTTATTTCTAGCAGAATTATCAACAATAAATTCAAAAAGTTTAGGTACCGTAACAAAGAGTGATATTTATTTATAATATTTACAAAATGTGGCACAAGGCCATAATAGGGAATGTAGAAAAGGATGGTCTTCATATGTCTCAACTTTAAACTTAGCTAGACACAAACACTGACCCAAATATACCACAATATTCCTAACACCAAACAACACATTCTTACTTACCTTTCTTACTACATCCACCATAATACCTCATTGTCTCTATGAAAATTCTAACTGGTCCCCATACGTACAATACATTGTCTATGGGGGAAGGGGGATAAAACAGCAATTACCATCAAAGTATTTATAGAAAAGGCAAAGAAAGAGAGACAACCTTATGATGGTGAGAAAGTGACTGAAGTCATGCTACCAGACCAGGAACAATAATATTGCTGATTCTTCTTTGGATTTTATCAAGGAGCTAAAGGTAAATAGCATAGACACTGGGCCATATGTGGCAGCAATATTCTAAGCATGAATAAATGATAGACTTATATGTAAGATGGATTCTGGAGAGAAAAATTGTCTTGCACAACACAGTGAACCAACTTTCTTAGCAGCTGACGTGGCAATGGATTCAATATAGTCTTTCCACTTCATGTCAGTGGAGAATGTTTGACCCAGAAAGCACAACAAGAAACTTTCCTGGAGGTTAGCATCAGCCATGCTGATGAATGGTATAGAGGTGTCTCTCAGATGATTAATGGAGAGGAGTTTAGGTTTGGAGGTATGAAAATTAATAAGCCATCATTTGCCCCAGTTAACGAGAGACATGAGGTTGTTTTGGACATCAGCTGCAATGCTGACATTTGTGTGGCAGCAATATTCTAAGCATGGATGAATGGTAGACTTAAAGATATGTAAGATAGATTCTGAAGAGAAATATTGTCATGCATGACACAGTGAACCAACGAACCACCTGACTGCTAATTGCATTCAAAATATTTAGATTACAGCATTAAATAACCTGTAGAGGTTGATATGCCGTTAAGCAAAATCAACCAACTAAATGTCTGTTAGAATAATCTGTTGAGTCCCTGTGGATGGGAATCCATGTGCAACTGCTCAGTTTGACCAAACTTTATGTTTGTTTGTCTACTGTGTATCTTAATTGACTTTAAACAGTTTTGTTTCAAAGTCTAATGAAATTAGCTCCTTGTATTGCCAGACTGAAAACAGATTCAGCCATTGTCAGATAATTATACTTTGGAAGTGTTCTTTTCTTAGCAAACTCATTTCAGTTAAAGAGCTAAAAACAAGAACTGAAGATTGACAGAGATTTTCACCTCTTAAGGATTCTCTCCGCCAAATCAACTCTGCATTAACACTTAATCACCATTGTCTTCACTTAGCCAACTGTCTGTGGTGGAAGAGATTGATACATTAAGAAAGAAGGAGGGAGAAATAAAAGATAAATGCATAAGAGGGTTGACCTGAAAATAGACCTTTAATCTCATTTCACTTTACAAAATATGATTAAAGCAATTTGATAAATGAATTAAATAAATGGTGAATCGAAATGTAGATGTTAACGATGTCTGTTTTTGTTTTGTTTCTTTCCTCTTATTTTAATTGGCAGGAACAAGGTGAATGATAAAATGAAAGTCTGAATAATTGGTCTTGGTAAAAGATGAATAAAACTGACTGATATAATAATTAAGTCTAATACCATTAGCACTGGTAGTTGTTAGATCAATAATTATGATAATTATAATAGTCATGGTAATAAAATAATCATCAAAGAAGGACTGGGAATTTTTAGAACAATAAAAACTATATTAATAAAATAAAAAAAACAACTAGTCACAACAGTTGAAAATCACTTAACTAGAAAGCTCTGGAAGTAAAACTATTCTAAATAAGTCTTCAGGATGTGGGCGATTATGGCACTCCACAGCATCCTATCCTTTTCAATTCTAAGTAATGCTTGCCTTTTTACAAAGGTCTTGTGCCCCGCCATCTATGATATGAGCCCCTTCCCCACTCTACTACATCTAACTCATATGCAATATAGATGAACAATTCAACTAGAAAAATTGAAAATAAACACAATTTATCTAAATACAAATTAGAGACATGTCATAATAGATAATTCCATTCTTAAATAAATCAATAATGTTTTTTAGAAATCAATTTTTAACATCAATTTGAGATTATTCTTGGTAAAAAGCTGAATAATTTAACCCATTCAATATTTTGGATAAAAAATATTGAATTTTATATATTTTTCACAACATAGAATGAGCAAAAAATTCATAGATTTGGAGAAAAATAAATAAATCCCAGAATAATGTCACAATCCACAAACAAATTTTTCATCCTCTAATAGTTGTGCTTAGTTTAATTGGTAACATATATAACTATAGATAAAAAAATACTAATGTTGATAAGATAGCAAGTATCACTAAGTGCTGCCTGGGGGTCTCACTCAGGATTGCTTCCCCACCCCTGGTTAGGGACTCAGTTTTAGTACACACTGGCCCTGCTTTTTACTATCCCTCTCAGTAGGTTACTCACTATTTACCTCTGCCTGCTTGCCTTCAATATGCCTTTTGAGCATCAAATTCTCCAAGTCCTCCTTCCTCATTATGTATCAGAGAAAATTTAACTGCCTTCATCCGATAGTAAATGTTCTCTACATTTCTGTTTTCATTAAAACTTTCTCGTTGCTCACATTTCCATCCATGACATTCTCAGCTTTCTTCTGTAGAACCACATATCTCTTGCTTTAAGTCCTTGTCATCTCTGAGAAAATTGTCCGGCATTCACTGCCATGTTGGAGGATAGACATTTCATAGAAGTTTAGTACTCTTTTCTTTGTTTTCCACAATATTTTCCTGTCAGTTTGACCATCAAAGGTCCCTGTAGATAGTGATTAACCATTTACTAGACAATACCTACTTTTTCCAAATACTGGATTTCTTAAGGATGTAGGTTATAATGACTCTTCACAGCTTCCTTTTACTATCTGTGAATTGCCATGACTTCTTGGTAAATATAGTGAGGGAAGTAGTTTCCTGTTATCTTTCCCATAGTTTTGCATTTAGAATAGTCTTTCTCCTAGATTGGCTGCCACTCAAAGTAATAGAGTTCAAATTACTCTGCGATTTAACTCATAGATGGTTGGGTAAAAGTAATGAAATCAATTCTTTAGTATCCATGACAATTTAAAAATTGAGTTACTGTACTAACTTTTGGAGATAATACCAAACTACTTCAAGCATTTTAAAATACCCCTATTTTTGAAAAATTGGGTGCTATATACCTTTTTTTAAAATTAAGATAAGGATAAATGTCTAATAATCCTTCTTATACTCAGGTGTCAGTGATATAGAGCAATTTTATAGTATTATATAGGACAGAAGAATGGTCCAACTATCTCAATCTGGAATCTTTTAAAACAGTGTTGCTTCCAAAATATACACTTTAAAACACATGTGTACCAATTTTATATTATTCTTTATAATAAGACTTTTGTAACAAAAGACTGCAGTAAAAATGCTTTGCGATAACAAGCTATTTTTGATTTTAAATGAACTGTTTACAAATAGAATCAGCTGGTTTTATTTTTAAAGATGTGGAATCAGATCTATGGCCAGCAATTCTTAGTTTAGGAAACGGATGCAGAAACATTATCAGTGAAAATGAAGCCCGTCAAATTTAGCAGACTATTTCCGGATGGTAACAAGAGATTCTCTAGGATTTGAAAGCAAGAGATAAGTAGAAAAAAATGTAAAAAGCATTTGGTTTATTGTAGATAAGTAAATGACTGCATTATAAATTACAAATGGGTTGTATACGTAAATTCAAATTGAGAAAATTGAATTTTCCAAGTAACTATATCTGTTGTAAATCAATAAAAATAAGGTAAGAAACAACCAAAGAACTTTTTCTATTTCTAAATCTTTTCTGTTGATAGATTTTGTTAGTCGTGACATTGTTGTTGTTATGAATGAGAAGTTGTTTATCCCTTATGAATAATATTGTGTTAAGAGAGATATCAAAATCAAGGTCAGAGAGATTTGGATTTTTTAGAGGTTATTTGACAAAATTACCCTTGAAAAGAAGTAGTGATAATCTGAGTTTCCCATGTAGGCTTTAACTTAGATTGGATTCAAATGTTTACTCTTTCATGCCTAATAGATGGGGAGTGGACGTTTATTTTGTCTTTTTAGGAAATTTCACAAACACCCTTAAATTTATTAAAACTACTTCATTTAATAATTTTGCACTTTTTGACTCTTCATATGATTTACTGTTCCAACTTTTATTAAGAATTCTCCCTGTTTATTGCATATTGAGAAAAATTTGGACTCCCTCAATGAGCCATTCTGAGTCATTATCCATTACACCACGTGCATATCTAAGCCTACAGCACCTATTATTACCAAGCAGTCATCCATCTAAGTACTGACCAGGCTTGACATTGCTTAACTTTGGTGATTGTATGGAAATGGGTGTTTCAATGTGATGTGGCCATAACCATATATCACCTGAGTCAAGCTTTTGAGGAGGAAGCAGTCAAAATTATAAAAAAAAAAAAAAAAAATCAACATTATTAGTGAGTCATAGTTTATGTGTGTGTCTCTCTCTTGCTCTCTCTCTCTCTATATATATATATATATAGATACATAGATTGACACTTTTTGCTTGTAAAGTTCTTTTAGCTTCTTGCTTTTTAGTCAACTTTAAATGCAATGTCTATCATTATGTTCTCTGTTATTAGTTCATATTATTGTTTTTATTGCCTTAAGAATGCTTTCTTTTTCTCATATTCTCTCACACTCGGTAAGCGCCCTTAAACCTTAGTGGCTTTATGACCTTGCTTGGAGATGAAAGGATTAAAAAATATATATGAAGGAATATGATATATAAATTTCTATATATAAGAACAATATTGAATATTTTCCACTTACCTGACACTCATACACACAATATATTACTGTATGCATGTCGAGACAGTACAGGGTACAATATGTAAATTCACGCTACTTTAGGTTTTTAATTTCACATATGCACATTGTTTGTTTTTTTTATTTTTTTAACTGCACAGTTGGGTACTATTAGTGGGGAAAAATCACTATGACACAATTCACTCCATGAAAAATTTGGAAAAAGCATGCTGTATTGTTTGGGTTTGTACTGTAAGCTCCAATCCAAACATTCCAGAGTGTTTGGGTGTCAAGCTGAAGATAGTTCAGAGGATTCAGAAAGAGTTGGATGAGTCTAATGGTGATTATGAAGGTACAACAGCTCAGAATACGCACTCTGATAAGAAAAGAACTCTCAAATTTGTTGGTGAGGGCCTCATACTCAACATGGAAGTCTGCATCAAGTGTCTTGAGAAAGTAGTGCTGTCCTGGATCAAGGTGGCAGTTGCTGGAAGACCTTATGTCTGGCAACAAGACTTTACACTACTAGTAGGAGTATGCAGTTATGGCTGTCAAACAACTTCTGCAACCACATCACCCCTTACAACTGGCCACCTAAATCCTCAAACTGCAACTCTCTAGATTATTATGTGTTGGGTGCAGTTGAATGAAAGATCAACAAAATTCCTTGTAGCACCAAAGATGAAGGCAAGGATTATGGCAGCATTCGCCAACTTAAACAAGGAGATTGCCCAGAAGAGTTACAGGAGATTCCAAAGTCGTCTGGAACCTGTGGTTGAAGCCAATGGCTATTTTATTGAATTAATTTACTCAAGATACTTTTGTGTAATTTTGGCAAATATATCTGTTAAAATGTTAAAATCAGTGTTATTTTCATTTTTGTGTAATTTAGATGACAATTTATCCATCGCACTCTGTATATGCATATACATACACATATACCCAAACACGTGTGTAATCCTGGATTTTGAAAATAATCAGAAATACAGTTGAAAGCACTAAATCATGACTAATATCTACAGTCATTGGACCCAAATATACACTTTGTAGGCAAACAAGAAAAATTAACTAGACATGAAAAAAAACACAATCTTTGTCATCTTTAATGAAATGCACACACACACACTCACTCTCTCTCTCTATATATATATATAATAGACTCCTGTCAATTTTGATATATGAGAGCCTAACAGTTGCATTTAGAACTAAACTGCAAGACTATCCACACATACCTGGTCTTTTGAATAGAAGCAGAAGTTTATTTGTTGTTTTCTGTTTCCTTCTAAATTATTCTTATTCTCTTTCACTACCAGTAACCACTTCTGTATTAGTGGTATTGTCACCTTACTTAAGATGAACTGATTAAAAAAAAAAAAAAAATTTGATTATAGTGTTGAAAACTTGTGTAGAATCATTTACAGGTTTCGAAGTGCTGATAACAGAAAAATGCTACACCAAGCACTATGAAGTCCCCAAACAACATTCCTCAGGTTTGAATTCAGAGTTTTCCTTCTTCAAGACTGTTTGCCACCCAAAGTCAAGAGAGTGTAATCTGTTCTGCTATTTAACCCATAGCTGGAGAAAGACGAATTCATGCTTCTTCCAAGAGCATTAGTGTTAAGTGAATCAAACAGTCTACCGGAATTTGAATTTGGCTTAACTATTTTACTTTCTGCATTGACGGCTTGAGGGTTGCTGGTACCCTGAGCAAACTGAACTATGGTGCTCTTACAAGAATAATTTAAAAAAAAATTTCACAATGACAAAAAACTGAAATTGTAGATTAACAAATTTATTACAATATGCAACTTAACACAAGTTGAAGAAAACATTAATTATTTGACCTTGAACTTTTTTTTCTAGCCTTTATATCTGCAAATCTTTTCATGGCACTTTCAACACCTATCTTCTTTACAAGATCATTTTCTATTGACAAAATAGCCAAAGAACCTAATCTGCCTTGAGTCACAGATGACTCCAAGTATGTTTTTATAAGGTTTAGTCTTGGAAGATCCCAAACACGTGATATGGCAGCATAATGGTGCCCCAGGTGATGGCATGAATTGCCAGTACCTTCAGCCAGCTCTGCTTACCTGCATCCACAGTACACATACACACATACAAACATAAAGATGCAAGATGTTGTATTAAGCTATGGTTTTCAGTATATATTACCAGCAAAACAAACATTTTCTTGTTTTTTTCTCTGTTCATAAACACATATACATTGTGTCATCTTTGTATTCTCTCTGACATATGTATACAATTTCTTTTAGTGTATCTCACTCTCTTGCAAATAATACAATATGTTTTTCAAATAATTCACATAAATTATTATATATAAATTCAACATGCCTTGAAATATGGGATAGAACCATAATGTGATAATCTTGTAAACAATTAAGAATGTGTTCCTTCTTCTTAATTAAATAAAAATGCCAGTTCCATTCACGATGTAAGCTGATCATGACTCTCCACAGACTTGATTTTTTTGAAGCGTTATCTATGAATTGCCATGTATTCTTGGAAAAGATAGTGGAGGAACTTCCTGTTGCCTTTTCCATGGCATGGATTTCAGAGTTTTTCTTCTCTTCAACTAGTTGATAGCCAATCTTAGAGAGTCCAATCTACCTTGTCATTAGCCCATAACTGTGGGATCAGGGAAAAAGATGAATTCATGAAGCTTGTACTAAAGTTAACAATATCATTGAACAAGTCCACACACACACAAATGAATATAAATGTACTGGAGGATGTATTACTTGTTTTAAGTATACATCACCAGCTTAAATATATTTTAACCGTTGCATAAAATAAGATTAACTTTCCAGTTTAGAGGCATAAGAAGCAGCCAAGTCTGAAATGAAATTTTTTCCATGCAGAAAATGGAAGCAAATAAAGGAAGAAATATTTTTTTTGTAAAATGTTGTTTTCATCCCCAAAGTTTCTTGTTTCAGTCTGTTCCATGATGTCTTCATTGGTTGATGTTTAGACCAATCGAAACACTCCATGCAATGAAGTTGCTAAGCCAATCATCTTGTGGCGTCGCTCAACGGCTTAACGACTTTTTGCACAGGGCGCTTTAATTAGTTCTCTCTTGGTATTTCCATTGTCTTGTTTCTGGTAAACCAAAAAAAAAAAAACAAAAAAACAAAAAAAAAAAAAAAAAAAAAAGCTGAAGATTGCATCCATCTTGAGAAACTCAATACTAATCTTGGGTGAGAAACTGGTTTTACCAGAATTAATAAAATCCAATACAAAGTATTCACAATGGGTTTTCTATAACTGTACTTGATTTTCCAATGTTTTAAGTTACATGTTTTTATAGCAATTTAAAAAGTCTTTCTGGATAATAATAATAATAATAAGCTTAACTAAAATATCTAATGAATGTATAAAAATAATTATCTACACACACATTATATATATATATATATATATATATACACACAAAGAGAAAAAACAGTACTAATACTTTAATGTTACTCATAAGTTTCATTTGGACTTGCAAAGTTGGTAAAAGTTAGTCACACAATCATCAGGTGGAGAAAGGCCCAATAAGACTCATTGAGCTCTCAACTTAAAGTGAGGCTAACTGTATATATATTTTGCTCTGTATTTTGTGTATATTTTATATATCTACATTGAGTACTTTGTCTGTAGAGTCTGCAAACTCTGACCATATATATATATATATATATATATATATATATATATATATATATATATATATATATATATATATATCTTACTCAGGATGTGATGGATCAAATGTTGTCTAAATGCCAAAAATCAAAATAACACTGACACCTCATTTTAACAGATATATTTACCAAAACTATACAAAAAATATCTTGAAGTAGTAAAGAGTAAATTTATTCAATTGCCATTGGCTTCAACCATGGGTTCCAGACAAACTCTGCAACTCTTCTGGACTGTCTCCTTATTTTAGTTGGTGAATGCTGTCATAATCCTTGCCTTCCATTCATCTTTAGTGTTACAAGTAGTTTTGTTGGTCTCTCACTCAACTGCACTCCACACATAATAATCAAGGGGTCGCAGTCTGGGGAGTTAGGTTGCCAGATGTAAGGGGTGATATGGCCACAGAAATTGTCTGGGATCCATGACTGGGTTCTCCTGCTTGTGTGGCATGGCCTGTTGTCAGACATAAGGTCTTCCTTTAGCCAGACTCTTGACCCAGGACAGCACTACTTCCTCTAGGCGCTTGACATAGGTCTCCGTATTGTGTCTGAGGCCCTGTAGGAAGACAAATGGAGGCATAACTTCACTATCATTAGTAATCAGTCAAGACACCATGATGTTGACTGGATATATCATCCAACTCTTTTTGAATCGTCTGCACTGTCCTCAGACTGACACCTAAATGCTCTGAAATGTCTGTATTGGAGCTTCTGGTGTAAATGTCAAGCAATACAGTATGCTGGGACCAAATTTCTGGCAGAGTGAATTGTGTCATGGTGTTGTTTTTCTCACAGGCAGTTCTCAACTGGGCATAATATACTGTGCAGTTGACAAAATCAAAAACAACCAACACGCATGCACAAAATTAAAAATATAAAATGGCGACA